TTGGATGTTTAAGCTTCACTGTGCAGAGTGATTGGTAGGATTTGGTAGGATGAAACGTTTGAAATTAGTGTTTCATGTTCATAGATTCTGGAATTTCCAGAACATTTTAAGAATATATTATAAGTTATTTGAACTTTTTCCATATAATACAAATTATTATTCAAAGCAGGGTATTTTTATGAATCTTAAATATGTCTGGAGGGAGTCTGTGACCTGTCTGTACAGACCATCATGAGGTGGTGAGATGCATCATGATCTGTCTGATTCAGCTCAACAGATGACACTGATTTATCTTATTGTACACTCGTGTTGCGGTAATTAACATGTAACCAGAGCAGCAACATCACGGAAAATGAATTACATTACATACAGTTAGAATTTTTATAAATGGAAATGTCACATGTAAGTGTAAGCTTCTAGTGTCCACAGAAACATGATGGAAATGTGACGGAAATGTGAGCACCATGGTCGTCCCAAAGAAACACAATGCAGTATAATCAAACTGTCATCATTATGTCATTAAACCGTCATATCCACCACACCACATGTGAAAGACTCTGTGTATTAAATATCCAATTTTAATCAAAGGTATCAAACTCTAACCCCAAAAAGCTCCAACCACTGATGCTCCCATGTGGACCTGTGTATGCAAGCACACATACCAGCGCTCCATCAGGCATGTGCACTTAGTCATAACACACACACTCCCTCACATACCAATGCTGTTCATATCCCCAAAAGAGATTATCGGCCAGTGAGAGCTTGTGTCCCATCGGCTCAAAGGCTGTGCTGAGGCCTCTTGAGGTGCCTGATGATGTCACCAGAGCGGGAGGGGCCAAATCAGAATGACAGAGTGGTGTTGACTGAGTGCACGTACATTGTCCGTCTTCACACATGCTTCACTGTCTATATGATGACACACACACACACACACACACACACACACACACATACAAATGGAGTTGTCTCTAAGCTAGTTTTAAAAAATTCAATGTATTCATACAGCGTAGATAATTGGAATTCTATTTACAGACAAATGTAGATATTTAGTCCTTTATATTTTATTGATGTATTGATCCATGTATTATCTACTGCAGCTGTCTGAGTAAACCTTGTTCATTGTAGTGCAGACCCATAGTAGGTTTCCAATACAACACTACTACACAGTACAGTTGCAAAAAGTTACCATAAATAGAGTCAACACACAAAAAGCTATTGCAGTAGTCTTAACAAAACAGAACATTGTAAGGTTGACAGAGGAATTAGAGTATTTATTGCAGGGCCGTTGCATAGTATTACATTTTAATGTCCCCTCACTCTCAGAAAGTCAAATTGCATCTTCAAGCCTCTTCAGTGTCATGTGGACATTGGGGACGTTGCCTGTGGAGTGGCAGAACGGGCTGGTGGTCACATTTTAAAAAAGGGAGAGGATGTGCTCTAATTGTCGAGTATCACACTGCTCAACCTCCCCCGGAAAAATTATTATTCCAGGGTACTGGAAAGGAGGCTTCGACTGATTGTCAAATTTAGGATTTGATCAGATTTAGGAGGACCAGTGCGGATTCTGTCCTGGCTGTGGAACAGTAGACCAGCTTTTGGGGTTGTTGGGGGGGTCGTGGGAGTTTGACCATCCAGTCTACATGTGTTTTGTGGACTTGGAGAAGGCTTATGACCATGTCCCCTAGGGAGTACCGGGGCCATAACTACCAGCTATCTGGACCTTGTAAAACCAAAGTGAGAGCTGTGTTGGAAAACGTTGTGGGAGAGAAGGAGGTCTGGAATACCCCGCTTAGCCTGCTGCCACTTTGACCTGACCCCAGATAAGTGGAAGAAAATGGACGGATGGATGGATCTTCAATCTTTTAAATCTTAAGGCTCAGTTTGAATTTAGCTTAGACATCTGGCTGGCATTTTGGGAAAAGGCATACAGATATGGCGTCATTGTGGACAGAAAGCCACATCATAGAAAACACAATAAGTTGTCTGTTGATACCAAGAAGTATCTTACAGAGATATACTTTATCTACATTACAGTCACCAGGGGCTATTTCATTATGTTTAAAAATGATTAACTGTGTTACATGACTGGTGTGTAAATATATTAAAGAAACTGGTAGAATATTTATACTTCTGTAATTTATGATAATAGTGTTTTTTATTGGTGTGTGTTGCAGTGGTCACCCTTTACTCTACACTGGGTGGTCCAGCCATTGCTCACGGACTGAATGAGACACAGGTCACCCACGTCATCACCAGCAGAGAGCTCCTGGAGACCAGACTCAAGGTTAGAACACAAAAAATGTATACTTAAAATGAGATACTATTTCGTTTAGAGTAGGTATAGAGGTGATGAAGTATCAGTAATCCAATGCTGCATTGAGAAACACCCTTAGTTTTGGCATTGATAGAGATAGCTCCACTGGCTCATTTTGTTGTAAACGTTCAGCATTGCCAAACCACAGAGTTATGTGCAATTGTGCAAGATTAGTTCAGTAGTTCTGTGGTAACAGGCAAATTAAAAACATTATATCAAGCAGTGATGAATGGTAATTACCATATTTGTGTTGTACAGTCTGTACAGCCCACTGAGATATGTGACATTGGGCATTACTAGCTACAGTTTCAGGTCCCAAAAGTCTAAGGACATAATGACAACATATTCCTTGTTTAAAAAAAAAAAAAGAAATGCCCTCTCCACAGAGCCTTTGATGGGAAGTTGCAAAAAAGTTAGGGTTGAAAAGGAAGTTTTGTTTAAAAATATTGTCAACAGTACAGAATTTACTGTCAGCATTACAAAAAGTCCAATATAACAGCTGTAAACAAAAAGTTACAGTTTGTAGGACATTTCCATTCATCCGAGTCTACAAAGGTTGCCAAACTCCTTTCCTGCAAATAAAAAGCAAAGTAAACTAAGTTATGGTAGGTTTATATCACTGATCCAAAGTCAGAGATGTCACTTCCTGACATCAACATGTCTTTTGTCTACATGACTACAACAATAATATTATAATAATAGTCAGCTTCTAGGCAACCATTATCCATCAGAGAGAATCTGAGAGGCGAAGTATGTCACCATAGAGACAGAAATAAGGAGAAGTGCACATGCTGGATGTTAAGGGTGGTTTTGGACTGGTTCAGTCCCCAAAGACAAATGGTGCTCTGGCAATTCATCTCCCCTTTTATCAAGGTGGCATAAACACAGCTCCTCTGCTCACTCTCACACATCCCCTCTCAGCCCAAATATTGATGAAGATGATGTGCATGTTACTTGTCTCAGAAGAAACCTGGTTTTCATCATGTGCTAATGTGTAAACAATACATGTATGCTTGTCATATTTGTTCTCATGCTTGTGTTGTGTGTGTGTGTGTGTATCAGGCTATCCTAATTGAAGTTCCAAGGCTGCAGCATATCATTGTAGTGGACAACACACCAACCTCATGGCCCGGATATCCACGTGGCATCAGTGTCCACAACATGGCTGCTGTTCAAAAGCTAGGAGCCAAGCCTGAAAATGGTAAGCTGTGTGGGATTGTGTGTGTTTTCTCATTTAAGTACAGAGATTTGGTCTTTGCGTCTTTGTCGTCCCCGGAGTCATTGTCCTGGTCGGTACAGAAAGCTAATAGGACCACTGACTACCAAGCGGCAGCAGCTAACACAGTTAACACATGGAGCAATGCATCGGTAAGATACTTCCTAAGTTACAAGACTAAAGGTCAGTGTTGCAACATTATTATTACAATATTCTGCAACTATCTAGCTAATGAAAACTGGGTCGATTGAGACTGTTCCCGTCGACTAACGGTTTAGTTGACTATTAGGGGACAGCCCTAAAAACAACTGCTGTTTTCAACAGAGTTCTGTGTCTCATGGTGCTCTAAATCATATAAATCACAAATTTTCCATCACAAATGAAATTCCAGTGAAAAACAATGATAAAACCAAGGCACTCAACTTCAAATGTTGATTATAGCAGCTTTAACGCAGATGAATAAAAATCATATTAAAGTTAAATGTTATCTGGAAGGCATTATTTTCTTGACACGTGCCTTGAAAGCTGACGAAAGCAGCCAGCCCCAACCACCTAACCCAAAATAGCACCTTCAACAGATGCCTGAATAAAAAAATATCAGTATCAGCCTTCCAAAACCTTGACCCGACCTTAACCTAATGCTCCATCCATACGTCTCATACTGTGCATCTCCATCCCACTCCAATCCGGGTGGGGGTGGATTGGTATCAGTCCCATTAGGTCATGTGAATGAGGAAGTGCTCACATCTGTGTCAGATTAAGGTCGATACGATGCTTATTCAGTTAGTGGATTGGATGGATGGGGAAAAAATGTTCGCCCCCTCTTCGCCCTTTTATTGTGGCCCCTTGAACTGACTGACCCAAAACAAGAGAAGCTGGTAGTGTCATGTGCAGATAAAGAGGGAAGGATGTAAGTTTAGGAAGGGAGGATGGAGCACTGGGATATAGGGGAGGGTCATGTTTACACACAGCACTGTTACTTCACATGACATCAACTCGCACACACTCCTACATGCCTCGTATCCGAGTAAGAGGAAAGAGGAAGATGGGAGGCCCTCCCCTTGTGACTGTAATGTACTCTCCCTTCCTCTCCTGTGTGCCTCCCATCATCCTCTGTTTGGTTTTTTGGGGCCTGCTGCGCTCAGACATCTTAGTTCTGTTTTTGTTCCACCAAATGCCAAACAGAGAGGAAAATCAAGACCAATCTCTCATTTCCCACATGAACAATACACTGCTGCTAGCCTAGCAAACCACTGACTGGTTTTGTTTCCCTCTTTAAACCGATTTGATCTTTAATTATTTATTCAGACATGAGGTTGTCTATACATTTCAACCATATCCTAGTTCAGTCAGACAACTCACATTTGAAATGTTTATAACAGCAGTATATAGTTTGATTTTGGCGTCTAGGCTCCGACTCCATCATTCCCCGCAGATATGCTTACATAGAGATATTGGGGAGTGATGAGCAAAGCCGAAGCCTACAGGTGGATGCTGGGGGGGTGGTGGGGCTTACAGCACAGCAGGCAGCAATAGCTTACAGAACGACAGGCAGCAATACTGATGCAGGGCAGCAGAGAGAGAGCTGGGAAATTTTGCAG